GCTGGCTTCTTAAAGAAATTGGCATTTGGTAAATTTGTGTGATTCTTGGCTTGTATTTTGCTCAGCTAGATGAGACATCTGGGCAAATAGTGGAAATTATCTCTTCCAAAGAAATTAAAGTGGAGAAGAAACGCCTATAATTTTATAACCTGCCCTTTGGTAGCCTGTCTCCATTAAACCCTAAGTGAATTAGACAATCGCCTGGGGTTGGCAGACTTTTTCCCTCTTACTCCTCCTGCTCCTCTTTCTTCAACCTTTAAATTAAAAACAAACAAACATGTTCTTGGCTCATTGTCCATGGGGGCCGTAGTTTGCTAACACCTTATCTAGGGTTTAGGGGTCTTAAGGAACCTAGTGGGACCTGGGCCCCCTTTGCCCCCATAGAAAAAATCCTGAGATGTTTAGTAACTTTTATTTACTCATTATTTTTCTTTCTCTCTCTCAATGTGCAGCACCCACAGTAGGGTAAGGTATTGGGGGGAACTACCTGCAGATAGTTAGTTAGGCAGATAACTTTGTGATGAGCCAGTGGAAGAGTTCATAATCCACTTTTGCCCTCCTGGGAGTGTGTGCATGTTATTAACTCTTGTTTTTCTCTGCTGGTATTCCCTTCAGAAATCATTTCTACCAGTTTGGAGAAATCCGGACGATCACCGTTGTACAGAGACAGCAGTGTGCTTTCATCCAGTTTGCCACAAGGCAGGCTGCGGAAGTGGCTGCTGAGAAGTCCTTTAATAAGTTGATTGTCAATGGCCGTAGACTCAACGTGAAATGGGGAAGGTGAGAGTTAAGACTATTCTAAAATGCCTATATTGAGATTTTCAAGAAATTATTTTAGTATCTGGGGACTAGTAAGGCTTTGGTGAATAGGCTTAAATCAATAGGACCTTTGAAAAGGTTTTTTATTCTCTAACACTCATTCCTGTGGATATTGGAAACATCCTGCTTTGGAAATTTATTCAGGGTTTTGGTGTAGTAATCTCCTTTGAAGAAGGTTCATGTTTTTTGTGACCAAGTATTTGACAGTTTATAAATGAATTAGATCCAGATTCTGTCCTCTAAAAGCTGGTTGGCCAGTGGAGAAGAACGGCTGATTTAGGTTTGAAACTGGTGATTGCGTAAGAGAGATGCAGGTAAAATGCCCTGAAAGTTCAAAGGGGAACATGTTTCCAACTTGGAATCAGGCAGGAGATGGCGAATAGCAGCAGCAGCCCTTACAGAGTGCTTCCTGTATGCTAATTACGCTCTGTGCTTAACACGTATAGGTTGCCTCTTCTAGTCCTTAAAACAGTTGAGCAAATTTTGAACTCAGGTCTTTTTGGCTTAAAAGCTTTGCTCTTATCCACTCTGCACTATGGCATATATGGGAAGAGTGTTTGCTGAAGAGGAGGCAAGGAGTGAAGGAACTCCATCTGACTAGGAAACAGGAGCAGAGGTGTGAGAGAAGGTATGTGTGTCTGTGTCTCCCAGGTCCCAAGCAGCCAGAGGAAAAGAAAAAGAGAAGGACGGAACTACAGACTCTGGGATCAAGCTAGAGCCCGTGCCAGGACTGCCAGGAGGTGAGTGCAGAGCCCAGTAGCTTGCTAGCTTCAGATGTCCAGACTGCCCTGATGTGCCTCCAATGTTAGGAGAGACCCCAGGTCCATGGCTCTGTACGTAGTAGCTCTGTTCTCCCAGCAGGAACCCCCAGGATTTAAAGGTGGTGGAAACAGCGTTGCACAATTGTCTTCCCCTCTAACTGTTGGCTGTTTTCTCCAGCTCTCCCTCCGCCTCCTGCAGCAGAAGAGGAAGCCTCTGCCAACTACTTCAACCTACCGCCCAGTGGTCCTCCCGCTATGGTGAACATCGCCCTGCCGCCACCTCCGGGTATCGCCCCGCCCCCACCCCCAGGTAACTTGCACCTTCCTTCTTGGTAAATAAGCCTGACTTAGTCCAGAAAAACCCATGTGAAAGCCCNAAAATATGAGGTGACTTAAATGTTTTAGGTAGTTTGATGATAAGTAAAAAATTATGAAAGTAGGGAGCATTTTAGATCTTGCTCCCTAGCATATGTTATTAGTTTGGCTCAAATAAACTCTTATGAAAACTCAAAAAAAAATTATGGAAGTGATGAGACAAAGAGTTAACAGGAATGGGCTTATGAGCTGGCAGGATGGGACAGGCAAGGAGTTAACAGGAACGCGCTTGTAAACTACCGGGAGCCAGCTTAAACATTAACCAGGTGGCTAGCACTGCACCTACAAGCTGACAAGCACCTTACATCCATCATAGGTGAGAACAGAACAGTTCCCAATCGCAACAGCAACCCCCTGCACACTAACCAACACCCATCATAGATGGGAACAGAATGGTTCCCAATCACAACAGCAACCCCCTACAAGCTGACATCCATCATAGGTGGGAACAGAACAGTTCCCAGGAGAAGACAATTGTTAACAGCAGCCCCCCTGCACGCTGACAAGCACCCTACATCCTGCATGGAAAAATATAAAACCCCAGCACTCCTTCTCATCTGGGCAGCTGTCCCCCATAGGACTCTGTCCTGGCAAAACTTCTGCCAGTTCCAAACAGAACTCTTGCTCTCCCTTTTTAACTTGCAATAAATCTTTTCTCTGGATACTCTTGTAGAGTCTCGTAAATTCTTTTACATTCTGCGAACGACCAGGGGATAATTCTACGCCAAGACAGGAAGTGGTACCAGAAGGCTTGAAATTCGTAAAATATTGGCCGAGTGGTTGAGTTGTTCTAAAAACGGTATAACAACGCGTATTGTTGATCCGTAAGACCCTTTTCATTTCATTAGTTGGAAAAACTATTGTCTTTGGATTTGTGGCTTCACCATTGATTAGTTACACGACCAAGAACAAGTTACTTAATCTCTCTGAACCTGTTTCCTTTCTATACAGGAGGGGAAATCATACTTGCCTAGAGGGTAGTGGTTGCTAGATAAAATACATTATATCCAGCTAAATTCGACTTTCAGATAAACGAGTCATTTTTTAGTATAGTTTGCGACATATTTATACTAAAATATGGTTGTTTATCTGAAAGTCAAATTTAACTAGACGTTCTGTGGTTTTGCTTGCTAAATCTGGCAACCTTACAGAGGAGTTATTGTGAGAATTAAAAAGACACTGGCGCGGCAAGCCATTTGCCCAGCGTTTGACACAATAAACGCTCAGTGGGAGCTAACGCGGTTTTTAACCCCAGCCTCTCGTTCATTACTTGTTTCTGTATTCTTTCATTCAACTTTTAAATAAACCAGTTGTACTTAGAGCTCTTCATCCTAAGTAGGGACCAACTCCAAGGAGGCAATATACGGCATCATGTAGCAGGATTGCAATTGTCAAGCGTAGAAAATCGGAGCTCGCAACGTCACGACGCACAAGGGCCCGCCCCCAGCGACGCACAAGGCGCATAAATACGACGTCTGGCAGACCGGAACCAGCCTCGGGGCCTGACGGGATTGTGGCGGTCTTCTCTTCCCAACTCGGAAGCTACCTCTGCCTCCGGACGCGCTCAACATGGCGACTTCGCTGGGTTCCAACACCTACAACAGGCAGAACTGGGAGGATGCGGTGAGTGTACCTGCAGGAGGAGGACGGAAAGAGGCGGCAAAGCCGGGCCTCCTGCGGGCGGGCACAGCCGTGGCTGCCGCGCGGCCGAGGGAACTCCTGGAAGGAGCCAGCGCTGCGGCCTAGCTCGGCTAGAGCCGGAGGCTGGAGGGCG